AGGGACACCTCGGAGTTTATTCCTTCCGTCATGTCGTTCACAAATACCAGAAACAGCACTGGTCCTAGGACTGACCCCTGTGGGACCCCGCTGGTCACAGGTGCCCACTCTGACACCTCGCCACGTACAATTACTCGCTGCTGTCTTCCTGACAAGTATTCCCTGATCCATTGCAGTGCCTTCCCTGTTATCCCTGCTTGGTCCTCCAGTTTTTGCACTAAACTCTTGTGTGGTACTGTGTCAAAAGCCTTCTTGCAGTCCAAGAAAATGCAATCCACCCACCCCTCTTTCTCTTGTCTTACTGCTGTCACCATGTCATAGAACTCCAGTAGGTTTGTGACACAGGATTTCCCATCTCTGAAACCATGTTGGCTGCTGGTGATGAGATCATTCCTTTCTAGATGTTCCACCATTCTTCTCCTGACAATCTTTTCCATGATTTTGCATCCTATACATGTCAGTGACACTGGTCTGTAGTTTAGTGCTTCATGTCTGTCTCCTTTTTTAAAGATTGGGACCACATTTGCTGTCTTCCATGCCTCAGGCAATCTCCCTGTTTCGATAGATGTATTGAATATTGTTGTTAGGGGTACACATAGCACCTCTGCTCCCTCTCTCAGGACCCATGGAGAGATGTTATCTGGCCCCATTGTCTTTGAGGTATCTAGCTCACTCAGAAGCCTCTTCACTTCTTCCTCGGTTGTGTACTGTGTCCAGCACATGGTGGTGTACCCCACCTCTCCGTCTTTCTGGAGCCCCTTCTGTCTCCTCTGTGAACACTTCTTTGAATCTCTTGTTGAGTTCCTCACATACTTCACGGTCATTTCTTGTCTCTCCTCCTTCCTTCCTTAGCCTGTGTGTGTGTGTGTGTGTGTGTGTGTGTGTGTGTGTGTGTGTGTGTGTGTGTGTGTGTGTGTGTGTGTGTGTGTGTGTGTGTGTGTGTGTGTATTGTGAGTGTGTGTGTGTGACTCAACAAACAATATTTGCACCAATAACTCATTACAGTTGTGACCGGGTGTGGAAGTGTGAATTGCTCCGTACTCTATAATTTGTTCATGATTGTAGCCATGTATAAACCATGTATAAACCATTCTTACAGGATTCATTACCTTTGTAACTTGTGAATTCATTACCTTTGTAAATTGTGAGTTCATTACCTTTGTAAATTGTGAGTTCATTACCTCTGTAACTTGCTCAGCTATCAAATCTTTGGGGTCCAGTCCCTGGACCAATTATGTACCTCTGTAATCTTTTGACTACCGCCCACAGGATGGGCCACAGGATGGGTATGGGGTGCATAATAAACATATTAAACTAACTAACTTTGTAAATGCATGTATCATGCTGAAAAAAATTATTATTATTATTATTATTATTATTATTATTATTATTATTATTATTATTATTATTATTATTATTATTATTATTATTATTATTACTATTACTGATCCTGGCCCTTCAAGGGAGGCGCCTTGACGCTGGCGAGGGGCTCTTGATCTAGGGAATTGGATCTGTGCTCCAGTTCCCTGAACCGAGCCTGAATACCTTCCATCCCCCCCCTACATGCGCTGTATAATCCTACGGGTTTAGCGCTCCCCCATGATTATAACAATAATACTGGGTACAGACGACCCTCGGGCCGGCGTCTCCCTTACACCCAACACTCACAATAACAACAACAACAGCTGGAAAGGAAAAAAATCTCCATGAACCTGAATTATATCTTAATTTTACGTAGTTTCTCGTAATTCAACGACGTTAGATTTGTACTTGAGGCAAGTACAAATAAAGATATTAATGCTGTTTTTTTGAGGGTATTGTATTGTTATCAAATTGCTTCAGAAAAGTAGAAACAGGTGAATTTTTGTGGCTCCTACCGTTATCTGTTAGTACCTGTTGGTATTGGTTAATATCTGTTACTATATTTGTTTTTATCCGTTAATATCAGTCCTTGTTCACCTAGCAGTAAGTAGGTACCTAGGTGTTAGTCGCCATAAACCTGTTGTCCCTGTTCACATAACAGTAAGTAGGTACCTGGGTGTTAGTTGCCATACATCTGTTATCCCTGTTCACCTAACAGTAAATAGGTACCTGGGTGTTAGTCACCATAAACCTGCAGTCCCTGTTCACCTAACAGTAAGTAGGTACCTGGGTGTTAGTCGCCATACACCTGTTGTCCCTGTTCACCTAGCAGTGTTAGGTGACTGGTGTAGGGCTGCATCCTGGGAAAGAGTATTTAAAGACTCCAATGGACCAACAGTCCTCGGTGATGTACTGACTTTATTGGGTTACAAATCCCCGAGTTTAATATCAAACCAAAGTTTCTTCTATGGAAAATTTTATATTGGTTTGTGATCAAACCATACCCCCGGCCGGGATTGAACCCGCGGTCATAGAGTCTCAAAACTCCAGCCCGTCGCGTTAGCCACTAGACCAGCTAGCCACAATAAGATTCATCCAACTAGCTGGTCTAGTGGCTAACGCGACGGGCTGGAGTTTTGAGACTCTATGACCACGGGTTCAATCCCGGCCGGGGGTATGGTTTGTTTGCAATCGTGTCATTACGATTTCTTGAGTCAGATTAGTTTGTGATAATTTACACAGTGAGTGTAATCGCCTTCTTTATATTGATATCGGACATGTATTAACTTTGTGATAATACATTCAACATTGCGGTGGGTTCATACATTCACTCTTAGTCTTCTAGTATTCTCTGGATAATACATTCAACATTGCGGTGGGTTCATACATTCACTCTTAGTCTTCTAGTATTCTCTGGATAAATCTTATTAACAAGAGGTCGTTGCCATGGTATAGTTTACTCTCATCAGTCATTTACTATTACGTGATTCTGTGGGCATATTTATAACCTTATATTATTATAAAGTGACTGTTTTTTTAACCATAATATTAGCAGTAGATGGGGATTATAATGAGGTGCAGTGTTAGTGAAAGTATTATACAGAAGGCTGAGGAGGGGGTTGAGGTGGTTTGGACATTTTTGAGAAGTTGTTGAAAAGTAGGATGACTTGGAGGGTGTATAAACCTGTAGGGGAGGGAAGGTGGGGTGGGGTTAGGTTAATGTTTTACTTCACTCAGACTGGTATGTCAAGGCTTGCAAGGTTAGGTAGTATTATTTCCTTCCTGTACTGGCTACCACATGCATGGTAATTATTTGTTTTACAAATAAAGTGACCCAGAAACTTTTTATTTATTTATTTATTTATTTAGTAATTTTAGCATACATACAGAGGTACAAAAAAATACAGGTAAGAGCAGCATGCCAAAGCCACTTATATGCATAGCATTACGGGCTGGCTTAAAATTAACTTAAGATTAACTAAGCAATGATGTAATCAGTGATAAAACATTATTGTAAACAGATAACAATAAAGCACAAATGAGTATTACAAAGACAGGTCATATGGTTGCATGCATTGTACATTCAGTAGAATGGAGTATTCTGTTAGGTAGTGTATTTAAAAAAATAACAAAGTTAGATTGGGTCCTAGGTTTAACATATATGTGATATAATTGTGAATAACATTTAGGATATACAATTTATAAGGTTCAGTTATTCAGTATTTATTTGGTTTTGAGTGAGTAAGTGATCTTTGAGAAGAGACTTGAATTTATAAACAGGTAGTGTTTCTTTTATATTTACAGGTAATGAATTCCAGATTTTAGGGCCTTTTATGTGCATTGAGTTTTTGCATAGCATGAGATGGACACGAGGAACATCAAAGAGTGATTTGTGCCTTGTGTTATGGTCATGTGTTCTGTTGAGGTTGCCAAGGAGATGTTTGAGGGGAGGGTTAATATCAGAGTTAAGTGTTCTATGTATGTAATAGGTGCAGTAATAAGTATGGATGTTTTGTATGGTGAGTAGGTTTAGTGTTTTGAATATTGGTGGAGTGTGCTGCCTGTAGTGAGAATTTGTTATCATTCTAACTGCAGCCTTTTGTTGGGTAATTAGTGGTCTGAGATGGTTAATTGTTGTTGAGCCCCATGCACAAATTCCATAGGTGAGATAGGGGTAAATAAGAGAGTGATAAAGGGCCAGGAGGGCTGACTGTGGAACATAGTACCGTATCTTCAATAGTATGCCTACAGTCTTGGAAATTTTCTTAGAAATTTGTTGTATATGTGTATGAAATTTGAGTCTATTATCAAGGTGGATTCCTAAGATTTTTCCCTCTGTTAGCTTTGTGATAGGTGATCTGTTTATCGTTATGTTAAGAGGTACATCTGTAGCTCTGTTTCCAAACTGAATGAAGTAGGTTTTGTCAGTGTTTAGTGTAAGTTTGTTAGTCCTCATCCAGGTAGATATTTTCTGTAATTCGGTGTTTACAGTATTGGCTAAACCTACCATTTAATGGACTTTGGAAATATAGAAAATCAGTTGGGTCAGTAGATCTGTAAACAGTGGACAAAGTCCTTTGATTATAGATTGTTCATTATTGTTACAGTCACAGCAAACTTAATTTTTTCTCTATTCACAACAATTGCCATTAGTGACTGCCCACTCCCCCTAAATTTCACTAGGCTGCTACAGCTTTATCAACCCTCTCATGCACCACCCGGTTACTTCCTGACAAGTGTTTTCTTCATACACAAAAAAGAAAATATTTAAATAAACTTCTCCAGAACTAATCAGTAGTTTTTCTAGTTAAGAAAGCCTCTATATATTCCCTGTTCACTCATTATTCTGAATTAAAAATAATTACCTATTTCTTACTTCACCTATTATTAACTTTGGCTATTACCTACCTAGGCAGTGTGTAAAAGAGTGAAGGTATTTCTTCAGATGGTGTATGACTGAGTACCCAGCTTATATACATTATGCCATCCTCTACCTTCCTTTTTGTTTATGCCTTCCTTTCTGCCTGCCTTCCTACATGTATCACATTAAAAAATTCAAAATAGCTCAGAGATGTTTTATATTAGTTGGAATAAAGCTCGGTTTAATTCTCATTCTTTCCTTTTCTCTTTTGCAGCTCATCCATTCAAGAGAAAAATTATGTTATTTGTGCTGATGCCCAGCTCTTTAAAGCTCATGTAAGTGGCAGAATTACTGCAATATAGTATCAACAGTGAGTGTCAGAAAACACAGTGTTGCAGTATTTTTAAAGTGTCTACAAGATTTCCCCATCATTCATACTGCTGCAGTCTCATCAGTATTATCACCAACTGCATTAAGAGTTTATTCATGCAAGGTTCTACAAATGTGTATCACCATGTGCTGCACTAAATAATTCCCATACTCATGTATTTTAAGGAATATGTATTGAATAAGTTTCTTAATAATATTTTATTGTAATATAAATTTTGTTAACCTGTATTGATATATTGGGATACTTGAGTACTTATGTAATCAGTCATAAATATTTCTTATGTACATTTGTTCTGACAGCAAGATATATAACTCTAGAACTTTTTTTTAATAAAAGATTAGTTAATAAGTATAAAACAATAAGTACACAAAAATAAGAAATGTCACTATGAATGCCATGTATGCTTTCTGTTTTCTGGAATTAGATTCGTAGGATTCTTATTGACTGTATTACCTTTCTACATTACATAATTATTTCTTCAGGCTTCATTTACATCTCATTCTTAATAAAAGGCAGGTTTTTTCTGGAATACATTATTACCCAGTACCCTTATTGGCTTGTAATGTGTGTTTGTGAAGCTCTTTTGAAAATACTAGTTTTCAATGAATACAATGATTGGTCTAGTGGTAAATATATGAAACTTTCATGAAATATTGACTGATTACCTTAGCATACTAGTATTTACATTACTTTTAACATCAGTAAATCCAAACCCTCGTTTTAATATTTACGTAAATTATAACAGTAATAAATGTGACAAAAAATTTTCCATGAATAATTTATAGACATGTCATCTGAATAGCATATCCAATATGTATCTATAACCTGTGTTGACAGGTAAAATACATGTATTTTTAAATCATATACTAATGTGCATGATATAAGCACATAGAAGCAATAATTTCACTACACAGTATTTTCGTCTGGATTTGCTCCTACATACAGCATTAAGTATAGCCAAAAGACTTTAAATAAATCATATAAAATGCATCATTTAGGAGATAATGCGAATGAAAAACCACATCAGTGTCCAGTATGTCTAAAAGATTTTTCACACAAAGCTCATCTAATATGTCACATGAGATTTCATACAGGAGAGAAACCATTTCAGTGTTCAATATGTTTCAAAGATTTTTCACAAAAGTCATATCTTATTGAACACACAAAAAGTCATACAGGAGAAAAGCCATATCAGTGTTCTGCATGTCTAAAGTACTTTACACATAAAGCACAACTAAAAATTCACAAGAGGGTTCATACAGGAGAGAAACCTTATCAGTGCTCAGTGTGTTTCAAAGATTTTACACAAAAATCACATCAGATAATTCATATGAAAGTTCATACAATAGAGAGGCCATATCAGTGTACAATGTGTCTAAAGAGCTTTAAACATAAATCAACTCTAACTCTTCACACAAGATCTCATACAGGGGAGAGACCATATAGGTGTTTTGAATGTCTAAAGGACTTTACGCAGAAATCAAAACTAACGGTTCATATGAGAATTCATACGGAAGACAAACCATTTCAGTGTTCAGCGTGTCTAAAGACCTTTAAGCAAAAACATAATCTATTACTTCACATGAAAATTCATACACAAGAGAAGCCATTTCCTTGCTCAACATGTTTAAAAGAGTTTTCACGAAAAGCGCATTTACTAGAGCACATGAGAACACATACAGGTGAAAAACCCTATCAGTGTTCAGTGTGTCAGAAAAGATTTTCACACAATGCAAACCTTATTCATCACATGAGAGTTCATACAGGGGAAAAACCATTTAAATGTTCAGTGTGTCTGAGAAACTTTTCTCAAAAAGCAGATCTAATAAAACACCTGACAATTCATACAGGAGAGAAGGTATACCAGTGTTCTGAATGTCTCAAAAACTTTTCACGTAAAGCTCATCTTGAAAGTCACATGAGAGTTCATACAGGTGAGAAACCATATCAATGTTCAGAGTGTCTTAAAGGCTTTTCACATAAAACAAATCTAATAACTCATTTAAGAGTTCATATTTGAGTCTAACTATAAAATGTTCAGTTTCCCAAAGATTTCTTAATAAAACTGTCCGATATAAAATGTCAGAATTTGTAGCAATGAATATATACTCTCAAGTTAACAGTGCCCCTTAATTTTTCCTCATTTGCTTTTAAAGATCTTCAAGCAATTTAGATTGGGTGCAACTTAGTCCATTCTTGAAAATAATCTTAACCCCCACAGTACATTATGGGAAGCACATATCCAATTCTGCATATGGTGCCATAGCAAGAAACATAATTTAAACGAAAGTCTAATAAAGTGATAGTAATGACAGTGTGATTTCACAAAAATAAGGAATCTACAGTATTAAAATACAGTGGACCCCCAGTTAACGATATTTTTTCACTCCAGAAGTATGTTCAGGTGCCAGTACTGACCGAATTTGTTCCCATAAGGAATATTGTGAAGTAGATTAGTCTATTTCAGACCCCCAAACATACACGTACAAACGCACTTACATAAATACACTTACATAATTGGTCGCATTCGGAGGTGATCGTTATGCGGGGGTCCACTGTACAAAGCATTTGATGCAAGATCTGCTGTCTCCTTAACCTCATGCATGCCTAAGCACATTTCTCCAGAGGAGAAGGAATTTACATCATTATATGACAGTGATTGCAAAAGTGATGATGAGAGAAATAATGAGGAATATAACCTGATGGTGATGCAAGTGACTCACTTTTCTAAGGCCTGGTAAATGCTTTCCTGGGTCCATTCCTGCTACAGAAAACTTGAAACATTCTCAGAAAGGTTATATATGCACTCACACACAAATATAGCAAAGATAGTGTAATGACAGAATTTATGTAAGATATCTAATGTGGCATTATGCACTTATCTGTTTGTCAATAGGTTTAGTGCTTGTTTTTAATAATACATAATAGTAATAATATCCAAGTTTCATGGATTACTATACCCCGAAACACATCATATATATATATATATATATATATATAGACATGTATATATATAAGAAAACTTGTATACGTATTGTGTAAATGCATAATTTTGGGGGGGAATGAAAAGAGTTGTTGAATTTGATGTAAGAACACTGCAACCTAGTCATCACAAGCTATGATTTCTCTGCCGGTGAAGACTGAGCTTTAAATCTGTAACATTTTAGCATTCCATATCGGCAAGGATTTAGTATATCCCTAATTTCCTTGTACAGTGGACCCCCGTTTAACGATATTTTTTCATTCCAGAAGTATGTTCAGGTGCCAGTACTGACCGAATTTGTTCCCATAAGGAATATTGTGAAGTAGATTAGTCCATTTCAGACCCCCAAACATACACGTACAAACGCACTTACATAAATACACTTACATAATTGGTCGCATTGGGAGGTGATCGTTAAGCGGGGGTCCACTGTATATTGTTATTTAGTCTTTGTTGTTCTGCAAGTGCATTTGAGAAATAATTAAGTTTTTTAGGTTGTACACAGTTTAAGGGCTTTTAAAAGGTACAAAACTAACTTTTAAATCCAATAAGGCATTTGAGAAATTATGCTACATGTGTCCCTTGTGCTGTAGATGTGTCCCAAGCCCATGGTAGCTGTAGTAAGATCAGTCATGCCATGAACACTAACTATATGCCCTAATATAGCTACTGAACATCACATATCCAAAATGGGACATTGCATAATAGTGAATTAGTAGAAAGTAAGGGAAGAATTGCATGTTTAAGAAGGACTGTTTACAAGATAATATTTAGTAGAACCTGGAAATTCATATAGAATATATGTATAAGTATTCATTATGTTCAGATTATTTTTACAGCAAGGGCAGTTTAAAGTTCCACTTGAAATTTAATAATGGCCCAGGATGCACTGAATCTTTGTACAATATTCTTTTTCCATTTTTTGGCTTGTGTTCTAGACAACATGTCAACATTTGTTTTAGGAATCAGTACCACAGATCAACTAATAAATAAAGTTTTTTTTATGATCCTTAGTTTCTATGGTTTTGTTCTTAGAAGCAGCAAAACCTAATTAAATACCAATACTGCAGTATGAAGAAGAATTAAGCTTAGGTCTGAAGTATTAGGCTGCAGGTTGACTAACTGTTCTACTGTTGAAAGTTTAATGTAGTGAGTCATTCAATTTTTTTTCCATTTGAAGACAATTCTGTGGAATTTACATGCATTTCTATTTCTTGAGTCAAATGTCTACCCTGATCCCGTTCTCAGCTATGAAAGGTACTGTACAGTAGTGACTCTTAGCTAAAATATTATGCATTTCAGCAGTGCAGTATTGTTTATTAGTTACAGTCATCTTTTTTTACTTGGTTCAGTGATGTTTCTCAGATGTTTGTAATCTGAATGTGACTACAGTAAGCCCTTGAATAACTGAATCTTAATATAATGGACTTTTAAAATAATGGGAAGAATCCTCGTATGTAAATTGTACTTTTAGATCCTTTATTTTCAATGTTTATTACAGTATACATAAATTTTGTGGACTTTACTATATTAGGCATATTACTGGAATACTTAAATACCTTTTTATGATGTTTTAACATTATTCTAATTTAAAGAACACTTGGGCAGTCTTCTCAATTAGTTAATTTTATTATGGGTTTACTATATGTATAGTTATATTGTGCTGTATAACTATAATTTCTTACTTGGCTTGAAATGCTACAATTGGTCTTGCAAAAAATGTCAAGCTCATATGTATGTGTTTAGTCTCTAATTTTGTAAAGTTTAAATATCACAATAAACTGAAGTAATCCCTCTCATCACATGGGCATTATGTTCCAGAAAACCAGCATGTAATGTTTGTATAACCCTTTGGTGCTTATTTTGATTATATTATTATTGAGCCATTCAACAAACAGGGCCTTTGTTGTCCCTTACCTTGTTAAACCACCAAATAATGGGCAAACAAGTTTTGTTTTTAACTTTCAGTGCACAGGGATTTTCTACACACTAAATGGCTTGCATTTGCACATAGAAGCAAGCTCAAGTGATCCTTGTCTGCCTTGAAACTAGATTTAAAATTTTCTTGCTGCTAGTGTTGATGGCAGGATTATACTGTTTTCAGAAATAATTTCCACAAAGTTGGCCTGATAACTTCCAGCAGTTGTGTAATCAACTCGTGCACTCTCACTGCTAAAATTTATATTATGAAACCAATTTTGTTTATAATGTTCCTTTAAACTGTCCAGCACTAAACTCGTACTGTTGTAAAAACTCTCTCTCTCACAGTTTTATAGAAGGGTAAGGCTTAGCAGCTTACTTTCTGAGCACTGTTTTTTCATCAGCCCATACATCAGTAACTTTTCTATCTTAGCTCCATTGATTTTTCTGACATTTTCAGCAGGTGATAATCAGCATCATTTATGACAGTCTCCTATTTTCTTCTCATTGTCTCATAATCCCCATCACATGTGAATTATCTCAAAAACAATATCCGAATTTCCACTTTATTCAGTACCACCATAGATTCACATTTATTCATCATTTCGGTACCTCCATCATTCATTCTAGTCCTCTTAGGTGCTATGGGTAATATCCAGTTAAGTTGGTTTGCATGAATGTTAAAGTTTAAAATCTTTGACACTTACAACTTGGATTATGATTATGACATTTTGTAAGACAATTTGTTATAATGTTGGTAGTAGTTATTACTTATGTTGAAATAAATTGGTAATAGTGCTAACAATATGATGCTTGTATGATATAGATAAATGACACTGCTTATTGATAAATTAGACTTTAACATAATTAGTCTTTACAGAATTTAGGTTGAAAATTTTTGAAGCAAGTGATGGAGTGGAAACATTTTACATATTCTGGAAAGGAGTTCCAAATTTTAGGGCCCTTTATTCACACTGAGTTCTTAGACAAGCTGAATCGAACATGTGATATGTCAAAGTGGTACTTGTTTCTTTCTCTGCATCTGTGTGTTCTGTTGCAGCTCTCCAGGAAGAGTGGGAGTGCTGTGTTGGAGATCGTATTGTCCTATATATACCCTATAGAATGCACAGAAGTAGGTGTGAATGTTTAGTTAGGTGAGTAAATTAAGACTTGAGTATTAGTACCTTGTCTGAAACTCTATTGGGTGACTATTCTAATAACTGATTTATGTTGAGTAACAATAGGTTTTAGGTGTTTACTGTTGTGGATCTCCAAGCACAGATACCATAAATGAGGCAATAGAGAGTAATATTGTTTGAGGAACATAGTGTAGTTTTGATAGAATGGCCACAGTTTTGAAAATTTTCGTACAAGGTGCTATCAAAAAGTTCTAAGACTTGAATTTTTGCACACCACCTGTGTGAAATATAATGGTAGTGTAGAGCACCTTGCACAGTACACTTCTTTGTGAAGTAGCATGGTGAGTTTGTGTGGTCATTTATTCTGTTGAGGTTAGATGGGCATTTTTTGTCTTGTCAGCAAGTTGTTGCATTTTTTTGATGTAACAAAATAGAATCTTTGAAAGAACATCATATGTGTGTGTAATTCTGTTTCAAGCTCTGTAAAATGGTTAGTGAAACTCACAAAATGCTTCAACAAGTATTTGGTGAAGCAATGGTTTTCTCGATTCAGAGAAGGCTGAACATCAGTTGAAGATGATGAACACATTGGTTGTACATCAATAGCAAAAACAGATGCCAAAACCGAAAAAGTGAGGAAGGTTATTCACAAATATTGTTGTCATAGTATCTAAGACACTGCAAGTGCTATGGTAATTTCTTACGGGTCATGTCAAAGAATTTTGACTAAAAATTTGAAAATGAGGCGAGTGATTCACCATGACAATACCCCTGCTCACACAGCACTGTCTGTTCAGCATTTTCTAACTAAAAACAACATGGTAATCATACCCCCACCCTCCCTACTTCCCAAGTCTAATCTCCTGGGATGTCTTTCTCATCCCAAAAATAAAAATGACACTTAAAAAGTGGCATTTTATCATGGAAGAGATTCAAGCTGAATCACAGGCTGTGCTAGATACCACTAGAAAAGAAGAGTTCCACTGAGATCAGCGTTTAGCTTCCCATGGAGAGTGATTTGAGGGAGACAGCTTCAAGTAGGTGATTAGGTAAGCCTATATATTTCTCCACGGCAGTTCAGGAACTTTTTTGATAGCACCTCGTATATGCTGAATGCGAGTGTTGAATTTCAGGTTGCAGTCAAGGCATACATTCAAGAATTTTCCCCTCGTCTTGTACTGTGTGATAATTATGTATTTTTATACCAAAATGAATAATTTTAACCTTACTACCAAACAACATACAGAAGATCTTGTCAATATTGGGGATAAGTTTGCTGGTAACCATCCTGGTAGAAATCTTTGTGAGCTTGTCATTGAGGAAAACTGGATCATGATGTGATTGACAAATTTTGTGTCATCTGCCAACAGATCTGTGGTAAGTTCCTGGGAGGCATTTGGTAGGCCATTTATGTAGAAGAGAAATGATAGAGGGCCAAGGACACTAACCTTTGGCACTCCTATGTTGATAATTTAGGTAAATGAGGAAGTGTTCTTGATAATCATTTGTTTACGTTTCTTTGTAAGGTAGGACTATGACAAGAGCATGACCTCTGATTCCATAATGCGTTTGTTTCACCAACAAGATATTGTGGTCTACAGTGTCAAAGCTTTGATAAATAAAGAGGCCCAGTGGATATTCATTATTTTCTAGAGTTGAATAGACAATTTAGCATCTTTCGAATAGCATTATTAACACTTTCCTAGCCTAAAGACAAATTGGCAAGGGTTATGAATATTTTGTTTAGCGATAAATGCATGTACGTATTCATTTATATGTATTATCTTTTCAACGATTTTTGATAATCAGGTTAAGTTAGAGATTGGCCTTTCGTTGTTAATATTAGCTAGATTTCCACCTTTATTGGCTGGGGTAACTTACACAAGCTTAATATATTTGGGAAAGTTTGGGTTTCAAGAGATTTATTAAACAGAGTTGCAGTAATAGGTAATGCCACATAGGCGGCTCTTATATATGAATGGTGGAATACTGCTTTACATCCTGCCTTATTTTTGAGCTTTTAGTATCGAAGTCACCTACGAGTTACCTCCATACCTCTGTACTAAGCAACATCATACAGTGAAAATTTTTCTATCTGCATACATTGGGACAGTACCCTCTCTGTGAAAAAAATGTATTTTACTATCGTAGATACATTTACAAGATGGCAATTCTTCATTCCTTATCTGTTAATATTTTTTTCAGTATTGTTACCTATAAGTTGTGTGTTCCATCTAATGTACTTTGTTACTTAACGAACGACACATGCAGAGTAAACTTTTATTGTGTCAGAGTTTCAATCCAGAACTAAGTCAATGACCTGGTAAAGCTGTACATGAAGTGAAACCTTGTGACAACAAAAGCTTGTTCTCTAACAGCGTCTTTTGTTTATTACTTTATGCTACTGTATCCAGAGTGTTGCTGTACATTAGTTAGTGTATGTTTACTGGGCACTTGGTTGTTGGAAAAAGAAATGGCGTTGATTGAAAAGGCTTATAACAAAAGTTAAATTATACTTTGCTTTTTATTCCCTTTGAGAAACAAATCCCCTTTTCTGTAAATGACGTATTAGTACTAATGATCTGTGAGAAATTCTTTTCTGGACTACAAGAAGTAAATAAACTTGAATGCTTTAAAATCTTGTGTGTCCCATTTCCAGCAGACACAAGAAGTTTGTGTCGTGATGTTGGTGAAGTGCTCTTGATCCAGAAAACTGGAGCTACTCTCCACTTTCTTGGATACGAGAATTATCTTTTATTCCGACTCCCCATATAAGTTTAGCGCTTTTGTTAAGTACAATACTACTACTACTAATAATTTAGCGCTTCTTTTTGATTATAATAATAATAATAATAATACTAATAATGAAACAATCTTATTTACTGACATGGATGGTATTGTTGGGAACAGCTTTCAAGCAGCATAAATACTACTGGTGTGCCCAGGATACTCTTGGATGAGGAGGGAGGATATATGGTCTCTTGTTTCTCCTTGGAACCCTTGTGATTTAGCGCTTCTTTTTTATTATAATAATTGTTTCTCGTCGGAGCTGCTCTTCTTGCCTGCCCCCTCTTGTTCTGTAACAAAAACAAAACTGACAGTTTAATTTATCAATGGTGAAGTTCATGTTCAGATTCCTCTCGGGTCCCTTACCCCGGCAGCACCCTTACCTGATCCAGACCTGCCTACAGAACTTCCTTCAAACTCAGTACCGTTTTCAAGGAACACCTCGTTGCCGAACTCCGGTGCCGGTCTTCCTGCTGACTCTTTTTCGATATCCTGCTGTATAGTCCTTGTGGCTTAGCGCTTCTTTTTGATTATAATAATAATAATAATTTTTCGATATCCCTGATCTTTGCTTTACCCTGACCGTGCACCTCTCTTCCATGACAGTATTGATTTTTGAATCGGTCGCACACCACAGGACTGACTGGTGTGAAACCATCGTTCAAACGCCCATAGCCCACATTTGACGTAATTAATGCTATTATCGACACTCCTCGCCCTACCCTAAGAAACATGCTTCCTGTAAATCTCTTCCCCTCAAGTTGTTTTTCAATAACCCTTCGAGCAAAATTATTTTCTTTTTGGCAAACTACTCCTACTGATTATCTCACTGACCATGGCATTAGCACAGCATTCACTGAGGAATGTAGTTCAAAACGTGTTCTTTCATACCCTCAAGACCCCTCAAGGGAGGTTCCTTGACGCTGGTGATGGGCTCTTGATCTAGGGAATTGGATCTGTGCTCCGGTTCCCTGAATTGAGCCTGAATATCTTCCATCCCCCACATGCGCTGTATAATCCTATGGGTTTTGCGTTTCCCTGTGATTATAATAATCATACCTTCAAGTGTGGTATTAGTTTAGTTCTGCCGCTTGAGCGGCTAGTTTATTGTGCACTCCCATCTCTTTTACAGTTCTAAATGAGAGCAAAAATTGCACATGAAATTAGCAGACTGACACCTACACACTTGGATTTCACCCTCCACTGACATCGTAACAGAAGACAGCTTTATTTTAGTGTCTGAAGCTACGCCACAGAGATTTTGGAAGTTATGAAGCTTATTCTAAGACGATGGGCTGTATAGCCCTTGTGGCTTAGCGCTTCTTTTTGATTATAATAATAATAATAATCTAAGACGATGGGAACGAGTTGAATATCTTTGGTCATGGGGCGCCTATACATGCCAGTTGTAACTAGAATCTAGTCCTAATTACCATACTCCAGCACTTAACATTTGAATCTGAGCTGAAAAGGCCTTATGTTACTGACAAAATGAAAACGAAAAGTTCAAGGAAAAAAAGAAAAAGAAAACTTCTGGCAACTACTTAATGGTTCCTCTTTAGGGATGCCTAATAATAATAATAATAATAATAATAATAAAATTAATAATAAGTGTCATACGGTGATAGACCCTTCGTGTCCTACAATAATGATTTTTATCTGTTTCCAGTAGGTTTAACGCTAGATTTTGATTATAATTTTATCTGACCAGTATATAGTTTTCCTCATTTTAAAGTGGAGTTTTTGGTGTATTAAAATGTTAGACTGAGGACAGTTTCCAGAAAGTGACCACTGTCTTTTGGAGGATTTTTACCCAATGTGGTTTTTGCACGTTTCTTGTGTTTCCAATAAATCTTCCCTCTCCTTACCTCATCCTTCTTTCCTTCCTTCCTTCTTACGTATAAGATCCACTTACCTTGATCCCTGCTCTCCCCTTCTCTAACTGCTTTCATAAACACCCATGAATTTAACCCCTTTCCTCTTTAGTTTCCCACTTCTTTCCCTCTGTTCCAACCTCCCTCCCAATCTATCTTCTTCCCTGCTTCCCCCTCCCCCAACATCTGCCACGTATTTCTATTCATCTCTACCTCTCTCCTTCACTGTCTCTCGTCCTCTGCCCGCTCTCACCCCTCCTCCCCTTTATACATGTCACGAATTATTTTGCAAGATTTGTCTTGTTCCTACTGCCCTGAACATGGGTTGGATGATATCCACCTTCATTTCTCTTATCAGAGGAATTAGGTACAGAAGTGTCAGATGAGAGGAGATAGAGCAGAAGTGTAGATTTATGAAAAAAACTGGACTACTTTTCGGTACTCCTTACCCCTCAAGGAAGGTTCCTTGATGTTGGTGAGGGGCTCTTGATTTAGGGAATTGGATCTGTGCTCCAGTCCCCCGAATTAAGCCTGAATGCCTTCCACATCCCCCCCCCCCCAGGCGCTGTATAATCCTCCGGGTTTAGCGCTTCCCCCTTGATTATAATAATAATAATAATAATCCAGTTCCCTGAATTAAACCTGAATACCTTCTACATCCCCCACAGGCGCTGTATAATCCTACGGGTTTAGTGCTTCCCCTTGATTATAATAATAATAATCAGTACTCCTTAAACCATTATGAAGTTTCAGGGAGTTGTAAGGAAGCTGGAAGAACTTGAACTTGTATGACCAGAGCTGTGGTAAGATGGGGACGGAAGAAGGATGGGTAAGACAGGGAAGGAAGAAGGATGGGTAAGATGGGGAAGGAAGAAGGATGGGTAAGGATGGAAATAAAGGAAAAGGGTGGGATGGTGGAGGGGAGATGGGGTAAGAAAGGTAAGTGGCCCAACCACTTAGGTGCAGAATGATACATATATATGTATGTGTATAGTGTCAACAATGAAAGCAATTAAGGTGAATGGGGTATAACACTTACCCGCCAGTTTCACAGAGTTATAACGATGTATAACTGCATGACTCTGAATTGGTAAGGGGTATAATAGTTAAAAAAATTTTTTCACGACGTAAGCCGTACATGACAATGACAAGGTGACAGAAGGCAATATCTGGGCAGCTCAGCTTCTTCGGAGGTGGTGTCCAAAACTGACTGAATTAGTAACATTACATGAGTACATGTAACAAGTGATAATATCTAAGAGATATCACCAAAAATGGGAGTGGAGTTACCCTTAATGAGCATACATTGGTTCAGGTGTTAACCTGTCATCAGGATCTTCTGGTAGGTCGCTCAGGATCTTCGGGCGTTGGAAATCGTCCTTATGAATGAATCTACGTACTCGCTGCTGGAGAGTCAGTCGTTGGGTTCTGTGGGCCGGTGCATCGATTACATAGTCTGCGGTGTTTGCAAAATAAGGAGGATGTTCTCCGTTCGGAATATACAGGTCTTGCATGGCATATAGCTGTCTCTTTTTTAGGTGATCAAACCTAACATTCATTGCAACTGTGTTCTGTTGGGTGTGTAGATCGGCCATTCGTATTCCATCTCTCCTTCTGGTGCCTGTGATGAAGCGGAGTGCCCTATTCTGGACACGTTGTAACTGTAGCATATTGGTTTTGGTAGTCAAAGACAAGGGTACGCACGGATATTCAAATAAAGGTCGTATCATCAACTTATACAGGTGCTTTTTGATGTGGGATAGAGCCGGATGAAACCTGTATAGAGAGTTAAGGCGGACTATGGCTACATTTTTCATTTTAGTGGCATGAGATGTGGAGTGAAGAAGTCTATTTATTTCATATCCCAAGATCTTGTTAGGGTTTCTAATGGCTATAGGCGTACCCCGAATGGAGATACCTCCCTTGTCCTCTATAGTTGAGGAAAAACAACCGATGGTGCTGATAAGGACTTTATCTGGGTTTGTCGTGATACGCCATTTCTTCTCCCAGTTCGCTGTTCTACGCAGTTCAGCATTCATTTTTTCAATTACCTTCTCATACTTATATTTGCCAGTCACCGGGGCGGATGAAACGACATGAATAACATCATCAGCAAACTGGGTAATAAGTGTATCATTCAACTCGGGTTGAGGGAGATCGTTGGCATAGATGTTGAATAATATCGGGCTAAGACACGAGCCCTGTGGTACCCCAGCAGTCGGAGTAAATGGCTCAGCTGTCTTACCACTAAAGGAAGGGATGATTTTTCTGTGTGATAAGAAGTTGTATATAAAGCGGAGAAAGGTCCAATTTTGGTCAGGAAGGTCGACCAGTTTAAAAATGAGTCCATCATACCACAAACTGTCAAAAGCTTTGTGAACATCCCTGGTGGCAATGAGGGCAAGATTATCCTGTTTCCGCAGACTGGCAACTGCATCGAAAATGATATTTATAGTATGTTGGGTTCCTCTGTGAGTTCGGAATCCAAACTGTTTCTCAGTGAAAAGGTGATTGTATTCCATGTAATAGTTTAATATGTTGGACATAATTTTCTCCAGGACTTTACCCGTGACCCCAAGAGATCGGTCGATAGTTATCTGGCTTATGGTGGTCTTTATTGGGTTTGGCATTAAATATCATCATCGCTGTCTTAAGAGCAATTGGAAAGTGTCCTGAGGCCAAAATGGCATTGAAAATATTCACAAGAGATAATTTGCAGTTTCTGGGCAAAAACTTAACTTGCCTTACCGTTATGTCCGAAAGGCCAGGGGCCTTATTCTGCATTCTACCGAGAACTTGGCACATCTCTCTGAGGGTGA